TTAAACTCTAATTGATAGGAGAGCGTGCGTGTTTATTATGATCTAATATCTATGTTTTACTCGTTAATGTCCTATTTGTCCTATTATTATTTCTTGTTCGCTAATATATCCAAAATATCAAAATACGACTCGCCTAAGTAACTCAGTATCTTTGTTTAAATTTAGTCCATTTTTTTGTTCCTTGATATGTAGCATCTCAGAAATGAGTCTTTTATAATAATTATTTTCGTTGTCCATGATCTTAACATTGTCCCAATTAAAAGTATGATTTCATTTATTATGTGTTCAGAAATTACTGAATGTTTCGTTGAGTCCAACCTAATATTATTTTTATGTTCTTTTATTCGCGTCTGCAATTGCCTCTTTGTTTGGCCTACATAAGATGCATTACAATTATTGCAACTGATCTTATAAACCACATTCGAATTGCATGGATGTTTAGTTTTATCTTTCTGCGCTTTAATAATATTATCCAGTTTGTTGAGACATCTATACCCTACCATACAATTTTATTTTACCGAGGAAACAATCATTTCTGAGATCCTATCTATATACGGAATGACAAAGAATTTTTATTGACCGAGTCATTTCTTATACTTTTTGTTCTTTCTATGTTGGCCTGTCTCTCTATAATGCTCCCCTTAGATATGAGGTGTTTCTATCCGATGATTAATTTTGTTAAAAATCAGATCAAGAGGGTAACCATTGCTTCTGGTATATTAATAATTAACTCCAAATTTTATTAAAAATAGGGATGTGATAGCAATAGACATCTGTCTACAAGGTTATATATTATTCCAATTTTGTGGCATAATGGTGGTTGAATAAAATGATAACGCCTTCCTGAGAAGCGTTTCTTTTGATACCAGTCTATCTATATTTTGTTATTAATAATTTTAAGTGATAAATCTAAGAAATTCAAGCTATGGTTAACTCTTGTTCGACCGTGAATTAAGTCTTTCATGATAGTTGTTAAAATTATTCACAATCTGAGTCATATTAGTCATAGAGGTGGCCACTATTATGTCATCCACATAACGAAAATAAAACAAACATTCCAAATTCAACGCTTTGAGAACTGTATCCTCAAGATCTTGCATAACCAGGTCTGCAATAATTGGTGATAACGGTGACCATAGGGTCCAAACGTCTGTTATAAATTATGTCATCAAATGTAAAAATATGTAGAAGTCAATATGAATTGCTGGCTTCGTTTTTACAAAACACCTTACGAACTAGCCTACCCAAAGCGAAAAGTCATATTAATAATAGTTTTGATTTGTACAGCATATTGTCTGGTAAAAGATTTATGAGAATGATAGGATGTTTTCCTTGGATGTGGTGTCTTTGTTTACGAACGTTCTCTGGATCTTGCGATTGGCGGTATTAACGATAGATGGGATCACATTGGAATAAATACTAAAATACCGAAAAACGAATTTTTGGGGATAAAATTATATTTCATAGAATATTCAGCTCGATAAGTTGGCCTTATATTTATCACTTAAGAAAAAAGAAACTTAAAAAATATGAATTATGAAATTTAAAAATAAAAAATTGATAGTTACATTGAAGAACATTTTTTAGACAGTGGCAATAGCAACATTATATTGACAGAGGGAAAAATCGAAACGTTTTTCCATTCAAATTGCTTTTTACTCTGTGCAACGTGCTGCAAGTTTGTCGATCTTACGCAAAAATTATTCAGAATAAAATGTGCGCGTAAAAAAATTCAGAAATAAATGTGCACGAATAAATGAGGAGAATAGTTTCTTAAATTTTTTCTTGCTTACCAAACTGATATTGTTTGAAATGTTCAATTCCGTTGGAATCGTGCATTGTCCTTGCTTTCGGGATAATTTCAGGAAGACCTCTTCAAGGGAGGCGCAATTGTACATTTGCAAGAGGGTCATAGGTGCTTCCTCGGCTAATAATCGGCCACTCCTCATCAAACCAATCTGTTAATAAAATCGGTATTTTTTCTATTATTCTCAAGTCATACAAAATTGTTACTGTAATTGTCAATATATGTATATAACAAGCATATAATAATACAAAAGCGTGAATCTATCTAAGGCATAATATTGTAAGTAAAAGATGTTTAAATATTGTTCCATAAAATGTTACTTGAATAATTTTAATATCTAAACTTATCTCGTATAGATTTTCAGGTTTTTGATTTTTAAAAAATTATAAATTTTCATTAGCGAGAGAAAAATGTCGAGTGATTTTTTTCTCCAAGCAATATTCTAGCACGATTTATCAAGTGATAGGCAATTTATTGATAAAAAATCGAGGTCGGTCTTTGAAGCGATTACACTGTAATTTGTGTCTGGCGTAATATGCAGAAATAACTAGGTAATAATACGATAATGACGTGCAATCGAGCGACAAATATCAATTATTAACAGAATGATGTTTATGTTAATTTGTTTACTTATTGTATCTTTTCAAGAACGCAGTTTTTTTATATACATATATGTTTCATTAATGTGTTGGCTAATTTTTATCATGCACATTAACATAAAAAAGTTGACCCTTATTTTTATTTTCAAAATAGTAAAATTAAACAATATTGATAAAATCATGACGTATTAATTAATCAAATATACATAACATCTAATTAAACAATAATATTACCGTATGCGCTTGTCGGGCCTCTTCGATGTAATGCGTCGTTATGATGACCGTCTTGTTACCATCTTTGGTGATTTGAACCAAATGATTCCATATACTATAAAAAATAAAAAATCGAAAAGATATAGTGTTGAATTATATATGTCAAATATATTTTCGATATTTCTATATAAGTTTGTAATTTAGACGATATAGTTATATTAAAAAATATGCAAAGGCAACAGAGAATAAAAGTAAGAAGAAGAAGAATACATATATAAATTAATAGACATTATATACATAAATTAAATTAAAAATAAAAATATAATTAAACACATAAAAAAATAAATTATGTTAATATATTTTTGTCTTACTGAAGTCAATGATCAACCTTTACGTTCATAATAGTTTGAAATCACCATTTTTTGATGATTAGTCTGTGATCAAAAATTTGCACGATCATCATCAGGTGATCGATTATTATATGCGTATTTATGTGTGTGTATATGAGAAGCTTATGCGTATAATTTATTATGCATACGATATTATCGCGCAATTTTTCGGCACTTCTGACACTTTGATCCTTATGACAAAAACGCTGATACTGGCATCTTCACAAATAAGAGAAGAAAGATTTGTTATTGAAAGTGAAGAGAAATAGCGTACATATACATGTATAAAATAATATATAAAAACATGTTTACTTTTCGCGAACCAACTAATTTTTTCAGTTAATAGCTATATTACACGCACAATGCTGATTGTGAGCTAAATCATCAATTTATAAAATCAGACCGTAACAAAGTAAAAGTTGAAAGTGCACGATGCAGACATGGTGTTTAACCAATTAAATTTAGGATATATATCATTAAATGTTACTGAGATATATATGACATTGTTGGCAAGTTGATATAAACAAATTTTACGTTAAAATTTTTTCTTATAATGAGAATCGATTCTTTTATTTCCTAGAAATTTTGATTTTTTCTATTATTACATGTATTTATTATATCACATGTACTATATGATTAAAGACAATTTCGAAAATTAAATATACAATTTAATAAAGCATAGAATAATTATGCTATATAATTAATATAATTTCATAAATAATTTAGAAATGCAAATATATGACAAAACGTCAAAATATAAAATCAAATTGAAAAAAATCATGATGTTTTTAGCGATATTCACAGATGGAAAATGATAAGAGTCCACAAATATTTAATGAAATAATTTGTATCTGAGAAAAGTGAATGTAAATTGCAATAAGAACTGTCACAAACTTTCTCAGGTAATAAGATAATGCTTTTAAAAACTTTACTTCAACTCCTATATAATCTAGTAAGATTATTCTTTATTTATCTTTTCTCTGATTAAAATTTATTTATTTATTTCGATGAAATCTACAGAAAAGGAAATGGTCCGTATCCACGTAAGATACTTAAAATATCCGATTAAAACAGTTTCACTTCTGATAGTTCACACGAGTTTTATTTTTGTTCCACTTACGTCACGTATACAAACATGATCGATCTCTATAGGAAGTTTCATTATGCACCGAGGAAACATCGCATAAGCGTGAGAGAAACGAATGAAGAATATGACAACAATGATAATTATAATAATAATGATTTCCTGTTATCAAAGTAGAATATTATTGTGGAAAATATTCAGATAATTATCCGCGCTGTATTTATTTTTGAAGGAAACCGACCACTTTCCTTCTGCGTAAAAACAAATCCTGCCTTTTCATAAAATTTAAAGTGTTTTGTAAAAGTTGTGCACACAACTACCATTAATTATATTATGCGGATGATAATAATTTACAATATTTACAGATTTATTTAGAATAACTTTTCGTTATTTTAATATTAATTTTCGACTTGTTACGGTTTATAGTTTCTAGAAAATAATATTTTTAAAGTTTTTTTGCTGTTCTTTAGAATTTGTTCTTTAAATCCATTATCATGCATATATGGTATAAGTTAAGAACTTTGCATGGTCGCGACTTATAACTATTGTTCCAAGCCTTTTATTTTCACATGAATAACATATGTATATTTCAATGAATTATTTATCGTACTTGTATGTTAAGAAGAGGGCTTTATATGACAAGAATGATTTATAATTATTGTTGTTACTATTATAAATAGATTTAAACTGATCGATTTTTATTTCAGAAGTCAAAGTCTAATGTCCGAAAATGGAGATTTGGACGCGAGAAATCATTCCTTTCAAATAAGCATAAATAAAACCTTGAAAACTGTGTCAACAGAAAAGAACTTTAAAGTTTATTTCAGTTAAATCTTTTCACTACGTGTAGAATACGAATCAATACAAATTTCGAAGATCTAATGTTAGATGAAAATAGAAAAAATGCTGACTAAGAAAATATAATTAGAGCACTCTTCGATAAGTTTCATTTTTAATTTTTATTTTTTGCCGTCAAATCAATTTACACAATACTTTCATTCTAGTTAAAGCGTGACTTTCGATTCAGTACATTGATCACGATTCACTGACACGCGCAATTTCATCTTGACATTTGGATTTTTATCGAAAATGCGAATTCTCATAACTCTCGGATTTGCTCTCTTTCCTTCTTTATTTTATTTCTATTTTAGAATAATTGCGCGATAAATATCATATTTGAATTATATATCTGATCATATCTTAGATTAAAATTAAACGTGTGAAACGAAGTAATATTATTCCTAGATAATAAAAAATCTCATAAATTGCAACATATGCATAAAAATTATTATTGCATTGCATGCATAAAAATATATTAATTATGATATGCATAAGAATTCAATATTCAAATCTTTAACAGAGAATGCAAATAAAAGAAAAGAATTTTTTTACAAGAATCTTTTGATCAAACATCTACGTTTTCATTTGACTCGCGCATCTGCACACGCCCACGACGCTGCAGCTGCACGCCGAAGATTGATCGGTCTAACATCCTACGTCCGTTGCGGTGCGCGCCTCGCGCGAGACTGATTCTCCCGCGCGCCGTTCGAGATATTGCGATTGCGAGACTGACGATCACGTGATCAGTCACCGCGAGCCGCGCAGCGCGGCGGACGTACGGAGGCGCGTGAAACTAATGGAAGCGTATTTCGATCGAAAAATTTTCTTGTATTAAATTCTATTTTTTGCTGTTAAAGACTTAAATGCTTGAATTTTTATGCATTGTAATTAATTAATACACTGAAAAAAATTATTTAATTATTTAAATAAATATTTATTTCAATACTCTTTTACACATTATTTATTTGAAACTAATAATAGTGATTTGTCACAAAAAATATTTATTTGATATGCAAAGTCCTTTTTCAAAACAGATAAATATTTATTTATTTCAACTAAATATGTAAATGCAACGATTTAAATAAATATTTATTTAAATTCAATAGTCTTTTCAGTGTATATTTTTAAATGCTTGAATTTTTATGCATTGTAATTAATTAATACACTGAAAAAAGTTATTTAATTATTTAAATACATATTTATTTCAATACTCTTTTACACATTATTTTTTTGAAACTAAAAATATCGATTTGCCATAAAAAATATTTAATATAAAAAGTCCTTTTTCAAAACAGATAAATATTTATTTATTTCAACTAAATATGTAAATACAACGATTTAAATAAATATTTATTTAAATTCAATAGTCTTTTCAGTGTATATTTTTATGCATACATTGCAACAATAATTTATATACATGCGTTGCAATTTTTGAGATTTATTTTATTATTAGAGATATTGAATTTAAATAAATATTTATTTAAATAGTTGCATTTACATATTTAGTTGAAATAAATAAATATTTATCTGTTTTGAAAAAGGACTTTGCATATCAAATAAATATTTTTGTGACAAATCACTATTATTAGTTTCAAATAAATAATGTGTAAAAGAGTATTAAAATAAATATTTATTTAAATAATTAAATATTTTTTTCAGTCTATTAATTAATTACAATGCATAAAAATTCAAGCATTTAAGTCTTTAACAGCAATTAGAGATTTTATTATTAAAGAATAATATAACTTTGCTTTGCGCACATAATTATATATTCGGTTAGATATATTTTAAATAACATTTTTAATTCAACACTTATAGAATGATTTCTAAAAAGAAATTTAATTCACAATCGTGTTTATATTAGATATTTATAAATCATGTATATATATTTGTACTATCAATAATACTGAATTTATATAGATATGAATGTTATATGATTATTAGCGCATTATATCATTAACACACGTATATATATATCTATATATATCCACATATATACTTTCTCTAATGATCAGAAAATTATACAGATGATTCATCCAGAGAATATATAGCTTACGTCTGTCACGTTATTTAATTATACTAATATGATAACGGGATACGCAAGGTTGATCATTATATATAATACACATGTAACATCACATAAGAATCAATTGTCCCTCTCAATAATGTTTAATAATGATTTTTCTAACAAAATCTATCTTAAAAATAAACAAAATTGATCTTAAATATATATAAAAGAAAGAAAACTACATACCTTTGTCTTAATAGTGGATCTACACCTACAGTAGGTTCATCTAGAATCAGCAATTCTGGATCATGCATAAGTGCCACTGCGAAGGACACCCGCCTCTGTTGACCACCGCTAATATGCAAAAAATATATTAAATATTTATATGTTATAATTAGGATATATATTAAATTTTAATTAAAATTTATTGTAAATAAATTTTTTTATCGCAATTCGATAAAAATGCGTCAGACAGCAGACATAAAACAAAAAATATGTAAGATATAAAACATGATACTTCGAGCGCGGAATATATGTATATATATGATTAAATAATTCAATCCTTACGGGACGCGAATAATTGTATTGCGAAATAAATATTCATTGTCAGTGTTTGGTTCGAAAGAGACAAATAACTCGCAGAATGTTTGAACGTTCTTAAAATCTATAGTTCTCGCGGACGCAAATATATACATATATAATCGAGGGAGAATGTGTTTGCACAGTATATACCTGAGATTCTTCACCAGCCGATTCTGCGACGGCAGGTCGAGAAATTGCAACAAAAAGCGCAGCCTCTCGACAATTTCGGCCGTGCACATTCCGAATATCCAGCCGAAGTACATCATCGTCTCGCGGATGGTGAACTCGCCGTAGAGAGCAATTTCCTGCGGCATGTAGCCAACCCTTTTCCCGGGTACGCCGGAGCCCTTTGTTCCAGGTTTACCACCTAGTACCCAGATCTCGCCCGAATTCAATTTTCGTCGACCGACAATGCAGGATAGTAAGGTGGTTTTACCGCATCCGCTGGCACCTAGTAGCCCGTATCTAATACGAATAATTTGCGAATTTATTTCGTCCGTATACATATTTATTTAAATTACAGTGAGCGATGAAAGATTTGCCGAAAAAAATAACCACTTAAAAACTGCATTCCACAAAATCTTGGTATTAAGCAAAAAGGAAAAAGTTAAAATATATTCTGTACAGGGGAATTTTAAGTCTTTTTAGATTAAATTGTTAGTCTTTTTAGACTGACGGAAAAACAACTTGACGCTGGATGATAAATGTCTTTACATTGAGATATCTCAGCCTTCGGGATTAGTTTTGAATGTGAATAGACGAATCGGCCGCTCGCGACGAGCATCATTTACATTTGCAATTGTCATCGGTATGCTAACGAAAGCGCGTAGTTAGCGATACTTGAAAGAATCGAGATCCTTGAAGTCTACGTAAAAATGTAAATTCCGCGAAGGATTATTTATAACTATAGCGATCCTGAAGAGGCCTCGCCGGAAGTCAAATGATAGAATTGTTTGCATGACTGATAAGCGGCTCTCTTGCCAAACGGAAAAAACGAGCTTCGCGTTGTGTCGTGAGACAGACACATGCGGCTCGTCAGGAATTCGCTGAATTGTTGAAGCAAGCACAATAAACGAATAATCAAATTTAAATTGCAACGGCGGGTTCAGCTGAAGGTTGAACGCGAAGCATGCGTGATGTAACTCACGACGAGGAAAATGGAAATTGAGAACATGCCTGGGACGTTGCCATCATGCCGAAGTGAATCGCGAGAAATTGATCGTCGATTTATATAGATTTTTCATATGTAAGATATTTCTACGCTCTTTCTTTCACTTTCGATGCAACTCTATTTCTATAAGTATGAATTTTCCCCGCTGGAAATTTAATGAAAGCTATGATTATTTAATTAAGGAAGTGAACAACATTTCTGTCTGTTATTAACGTAACGAATAAAACAAATAAGAAAAGGAATCAAATATCAAATTGCTATTACTTAAAGAAAGCGTAGTTAAAATCAAAATAATTGCTAATTAGAATGTTGATGATAAAATATTGTATTGTATTATTCTTTTTAGTATTATAATATTATTATTATATGAAAAAAGATTGCGTAAGATTATTGGAACCGTATTATGCAATAGTTCAGAAGATAATCCGTTTATTATTACAGAAAATTGTGATACACTTTGAACGCAATCAAAATTATAATTAGCTTTTTCCATAGTAACTGTCTGAGCAGAGTGTAATCAGTAGCAGTAAGCATTAATAATTGCTCAAATAATTTCAATAATCAAGACTTACGTAAATAATATTTCTTGTCAACTTGTTTTTTGCATCGCAAGCAAAGGATATTTCATTTGTAAGCGATAAGCATTTAGACAAGCATTAATTATTGTCTGAAATGCGAGAAGCTCAGAAACGCAAGACATATTTGATTAATGTCCATATTTTAAAAAAAATTGCTATTACTTAAAGAAAGCGTAGTTAAAAATGTAATAAAATAAAGAAAAACTTTTATAAAATTAATATTGATACAAAATTAATATTGATACAGATATTTTAAGTGGATTTCGTCAAAATGAAATCAATTTAATGAAATTGTTGGACAGAAGGAATTCTGACAGAGGAGTTGGAACTTCCACAGGTATAGGAATCCATTAGAATATTTCAAATAAGTCTGCTTTATATTTTGAAAAGCCTTCAATATTTCAAATTGCTATCATTATTCAATAAATATTTGGTTACAATTCCAAATAAATACTCTACATACTACTATTCTCACTCAGTTCAATACGCGTTATGTTAATTACAATGTTAACATGACAAAATTTAGATCGAAAGGAACGAGGTCGCATACAATTCTTTTTCTCTTGAAGGCATAATCTGTTCGCTATTTTAATTATTATCTCAAGTTTGCGGTTTGTAACACATGCGAAAGACACGATATAATGACGTATGTCAATTGCCTGGCAATTACAAAACAAATTTCGTAATGATTATAACGGAAATAATTTTTTTCAGCATTTCGATTTCCTGATCGCCGCATAGACTCGTTGTCTCATGTATGTTATGGAATAACTATTGCAATATTAGTTATTTAACCTAAATCGCGATTTAGCGAGCTGACTTAGACGAAAACCTGCATTAATTAATGCACGCAATATTGTTGATCAATTGTGCTTCCATTAAACGAATAAACGAACATTAAAATAGGAAACGAGTTTCTTATATCGCTTTCTCAATGTAGCGTATTTAGTTATACAGATAGTATATTCAGCAAAAAGGCATAAATTATCAATTTTTTTATATTGATTGCAATTATAAGAGAGAAGGTATTAGAGTTAGGAAATATTGAGCAATCTCGACGGGGAAACATATAGATTTACGGTGTGAAACGCGTAGACATGATATGCAATGTACGTTATTATATTTGTAATATATATGTATAATAATTATCAATTTGCAACGTATATGTAATTATTATTAATAATAAGTAATAAGGTAGTAGATATTAAACTGACTACACTGGCTGTCTATTAGATTTGTTAAACTATATTTATTGACGTTTCGACCATACGGGCTGTGGTCCTTTTCAAAATTACAATAGAAGCATTCTAGAAATTAATGTACATGCAATCAGAATCAACATTTAAATTGAAAACGTGAAATGTAACAAATGAGACTTACAATGAGTTACTGCATATCGTTATTGACATTTAAAAGTACGCTCCGGTGAGACTTAACTTAAGATCGGATGGTAAATTAACTGCGTTTCACTTGTGTCATCTTGCCACGACTGAACACACTGTACTAACGAATAAACACGCCGAAAATTATGTCAAAGTTAAAAGTTAACAATATTTACATTCTCGCTAAATTGTGATGTACCATATGGCAAATTACTAAAATAAATTATAAAAAATAAAAATAAGAATAAAATATAGAAAGTATAAGATAATAAAAAGATAAATAAATAAATAAATAGATATATTCGGTTCGCTTATGTCATCCTGCCTTAACATACCAATAATAAACTACTAATAATAGCTCCCAACAATGTATGTTAAAAATTTTTTACTTCAATTTCTAAACAAACTGTCATATATCGTACTAAAGCTTTCAGTGTCTTTTTGTAAATTGATAGTGGAATTCAATTTCTTGATGAAGTACATTTCGGCTATTTCTCTTTTTCTTCTATTGTTTTCTTTATGCAGAATTAAAGGATTCGACCAATCAAATTCATGTCCTTGATTAATTCTGTGCTCACTAACAACAGAAAAATTGCTCGCTGAATTTTTAATATTACGTCGGTGTTCGTTGATCCTAGTACTAAGATGTCTTTTTGTCTGCCCTACATAATTAGAATCACAATTGTTACAATTAATACAATAGACTACGCCGGTTTGCTTATTAATATCTAAATTATCTTTCCCCGATTTTATTAAACAGTTCAGTTTTTTGGGGATGGTAAAAATTACGTTAAGGTTCTTTTTGTTTAGAAATCTATATATGTCATTAGTGAACCGATTACAATATGGAATGACGATGAAATTTTCCCTCGAAACATCCGTCGAATCTACATTTATAATTTTTTTATCCTCATTGTTTATAGGTTGTGACAGCTTGTGGGTTCTATCATTGACATATTTATTAATGAGATTTTCCGGGAAGCAGTTATTTTTCAAAATATTCTTTACAATTTTTAAATTAGAGTCATGAAACCGTTTATTAGATAAATTTATTGCATGGTCAACTAAATTAGTAATGGTGTTAATTTTATATTTTGTCGGATGATTCGAGAAAAAATTGATGTATCTTCCTGAGAATGTTGGTTTTCTGTACCAGTTAGTTATGAGCTTATTATCATCCCTGTGGACAATTGTATTCAAAAAGCTGAGTGAATTATTAGTTTCAGTCTCATAAGTAAAAGTTAGTCTTGGGTGATAGCTATTAAACACCTCGCTCACCTCTAACAGTTTATCGTTAGGAAGGATCATGAATATGTCATCTACATATCTATAAAAACAAGACGTCAATAAATATAGTTTAACAAATCTAATAGACAGCCAGTGTAGTCAGTTTAATATCTACTACCTTAGTATTTCATTCCTGGCGAACGAAATTTAATATTTTATTAGAAATAAATACCTGTGCACAAGGCACCAAATTTTTACTTGGACACGGCCAAGATATAAAATTGGAATAATCTCTACAAGAGATTTTTAATTCCATGTATCCCCTATTCCCCCTAAAGAAATAAAGTGCGAGAGAAAAATATAGATCCGAAAGTCGCAGAATCGGGAATCGAACCCGAGACCTTTCGCTTGCCGGGCGACTGCTCTTCCAACTGAGCTATTCAGATCCTTTCGATTCTATACTTTTCTCTGTTATATATATTAATGTTGGTAAATAAACGCCTTTAAGCCAGCGTGTATAAATTAAGAGTTTAACTAGGCTCTGTAATATATAAATATAAATTTAACATATATAAGATAGGCAATAAGAGCCAAATCGCGGATGACAGTGCGTTATTCTAAACAAAACTAAATTTTTTCGTTAGAAATAAATACCTGTGCACAAGGCACCAAATTTTTACTTGGACACGGCCAAGATATAAAATTGGAATAATCTCTACAAGAGATTTTTAATTCCATGTATCCCCTATTCCCCCTAAAGAAATAAAGTGCGAGAGAAAAATATAGATCCGAAAGTCGCAGAATCGGGAATCGAACCCGAGACCTTTCGCTTGCCGGGCGACTGCTCTTCCAACTGAGCTATTCAGATCCTTTCGATTCTATACTTTTCTCTGTTATATATATTAATGTTGGTAAATAAACGCCTTTAAGCCAGCGTGTATAAATTAAGAGTTTAACTAGGCTCTGTAATATATAAATATAAATTTAACATATATAAGATAGGCAATAAGAGCCAAATCGCGGATGACAGTGCGTTATTCTAAACGAAACTAAATTTTTTCGTTAGAAATAAATACCTGTGCACAAGGCACCAAATTTTTACTTGGACACGGCCAAGATATAAAATTGGAATAATCTCTACAAGAGATTTTTAATTCCATGTATCCCCTATTCCCCCTAAAGAAATAAAGTGCGAGAGAAAAATATAGATCCGAAAGTCGCAGAATCGGGAATCGAACCCTATAAGTATAGAATCGAAAGGATCTGAATAGCTCAGTTGGAAGAGCAGTCGCCCGGCAAGCGAAAGGTCTCGGGTTCGATTCCCGATTCTGCGACTTTCGGATCTATATTTTTCTCTCGCACTTTATTTCTTTAGGGGGAATAGGGGATACATGGAATTAAAAATCTCTTGTAGAGATTATTCCAATTTTATATCTTGGCCGTGTCCAAGTAAAAATTTGGTGCCTTGTGCACAGGTATTTATTTCTAACGAAAAAATTTAGTTTCGTTTAGAATAACGCACTGTCATCCGCGATTTGGCTCTTATTGCCTATCTTATATATGTTAAATTTATATTTATATATTACAGAGCCTAGTTAAACTCTTAATTTATACACGCTGGCTTAAAGGCGTTTATTTACCAACATTAATATATATAACAGAGAAAAGTATAGAATCGAAAGGATCTGAATAGCTCAGTTGGAAGAGCAGTCGCCCGGCAAGCGAAAGGTCTCGGGTTCGATTCCCGATTCTGCGACTTTCGGATCTATATTTTTCTCTCGCACTTTATTTCTTTAGGGGGAATAGGGGATACATGGAATTAAAAATCTCTTGTAGAGATTATTCCAATTTTATATCTTGGCCGTGTCCAAGTAAAAATTTGGTGCCTTGTGCACAGGTATTTATTTCTAACGAAAAAATTTAGTTTCGTTTAGAATAACGCACTGTCATCCGCGATTTGGCTCTTATTGCCTATCTTATATATGTTAAATTTATATTTATATATTACAGAGCCTAGTTAAACTCTTAATTTATACACGCTGGCTTAAAGGCGTTTATTTACCAACATTAATATATATAACAGAGAAAAGTATAGAATCGAAAGGATCTGAATAGCTCAGTTGGAAGAGCAGTCGCCCGGCAAGCGAAAGGTCTCGGGTTCGATTCCCGATTCTGCGACTTTCGGATCTATATTTTTCTCTCGCACTTTATTTCTTTAGGGGGAATAGGGGATACATGGAATTAAAAATCTCTTGTAGAGATTATTCCAATTTTATATCTTGGCCGTGTCCAAGTAAAAATTTGGTGCCTTGTGCACAGGTATTTATTTCTAACGAAAAAATTTAGTTTCGTTTAGAATAACGCACTGTCATCCGCGATTTGGCTCTTATTGCCTATCTTATATATGTTAAATTTATATTTATATATTACAGAGCCTAGTTAAACTCTTAATTTATACACGCTGGCTTAAAGGCGTTTATTTACCAACATTAATATATATAACAGAGAAAAGTATAGAATCGAAAGGATCTGAATAGCTCAGTTGGAAGAGCAGTCGCCCGGCAAGCGAAAGGTCTCGGGTTCGATTCCCGATTCTGCGACTTTCGGATCTATATTTTTCTCTCGCACTTTATTTCTTTAGGGGGAATAGGGGATACATGGAATTAAAAATCTCTTGTAGAGATTATTCCAATTTTATATCTTGGCCGTGTCCAAGTAAAAATTTGGTGCCTTGTGCACAGGTATTTATTTCTAACGAAAAAATTTAGTTTCGTTTAGAATAACGCACTGTCATCCGCGATTTGGCTCTTATTGCCTATCTTATATATGTTAAATTTATATTTATATATTACAGAGCCTAGTTAAACTCTTAATTAATATTTTATTGTTAATAATAAGTAAATTGCAATTAATATTATATTTTATTATAACGTTTTATGGACATGTACATAATATTAATATCGTTTTTATTTTATTTAACTTGCATTAAATGCCTCAAAAGACTTTCAGTCGTTATATATATTCGTTACGTACATATACATATTTAATTATTTGATACTAGATATGTAGATTATACAAAAATTAACAAGTTTTCTTGATTTACTATTTCATGCATTTAATGCAAGCTAAATATTCAAACTGTTACTAATTGATTATTAATTGCAAAAGAAATATATAAAGTAAGTTCTTTTGTCCATATATATATACCAAAAAATATGTCTTTAAATAAAATAATAAAATAAAATAATGAAATACTTACATCGAGCCTTTGGCCACGGTCATATTGAGATTCTGTAAGATATGATTCGGATTCTTCGTGCTGCCATAGCTCTTGAAGGCATGCCTGACGCTAACAGCTTGTTGACGATTCCAGGTGGGGTTGTTCAGACCCGGTTGTGACAAGACTGCGCTTGACGTCACTGACGTCAGGTCCACGTTGCTGTCCCCGTTGTTCTGCATCGTCGTCGCGTTCGTGAGACCCGCTGCACCCGCACCTCCGTCGCTGGAACAAGCAAACGAGCATGACGTTAACGAGAGATCGCGTTGTCAGAAATCGCGCACCGGCGATTACGGATGCACACAAGGATGTCACAAATCGCATGCGACGTCTTGTGCAACAATCTTGTATGTACACACGATGCCGACGGCGAAGATTTCTTTGCAAGGTGCTTGTGATGCGTCGCGTACAATCGTGATGCAAAAAGATGTTCCAAGGTAAGGCTATACCTGTAGTGCGATTCGAAAATTCAATCATGCTCCTTTGATGAAACGTTACTCGAGATTCATGCAATTTTCAGCTTCAAAAATCGATAAAAACCTTTTTTTCCATCTTAAAAACTAGATTTTTCCATTCTGTTGAAGAATAGAGAGAGATGCATTTTTGGTGGAATTTCCAGAAAATTGCAATGCTTAATCGCCTCGTTTTAGGATTTTTCGAAGGGGTTGATTACAGCCTGTTGTGTCCAACTCCTTAAAAGGAAAAATTTTAAAGCGCGCCTGCAAAATTATACACTGCAAAATCACCGCGTATTACACGCACTGCGAGAAACGATTCTGCAAATCTCGGTGCGAATTGCATGTAGAAAGAGCGATGCGAGTTACGCAACAGGCGCGCGCGGCTTTCTTTTCGCGGACGCGCGTGGCAATTCATTGGGCAATATGCGGTGGACGCGCGCTCATGTGTATCTTCTGGTGGATGAACCACGCAGGTAGATTAATGTGTACAAAGTGCGTGTGCGTGACGGATGGATGTATGCATATGCTCGGAAGATGCGGAATTCGTAAGGCACACACACGCATCGACGTGCTCACGAACGAGCGCGAATTCTCGTGGCTCTTCTGCCTCGTCGATTTTATTTCGCGATTTTTCTTCATTTGTGTCTTTAGAATATTCTTTGTGTCTTTCATTAGCTAAACAAGAGAATGCGAGTATTACATTTTGAAGCAGTAGTATCATCTCTAAAAATTCCATTTTTTTTCTATCTCTGAAATGCAAAATATGAATATAGATATAGAAGATATAATTTTTATACAAAAATTAATTTGAAAATAAATTGCAAAATAAATTATAAAAATTAAAATAAAACTCAATTAGAATTTCAAATTCACATTTCTCTTTTCGTCAATATATAATAATTCATTTAAACAATTAAACTTGTAAATTTGCGCACATTTTGTCGAAATTTGTTGTTATTATCATCGTCAATGAAATGCAGATTATATTTTAATTGTTCTTATTCAGAAAAGCATGTGTTTGCTTTACATTCAGATGACTTCTCTCTTTTTTACTTGATGCATTAATTTTTTTCAAGATTAAATAACGTTACATAAAACTTACTCGTTGTATAAATCAATTAAAATGAATTTTTTTTGATAGTTTATCTACGGATTATTTGAAAAAATTGCTGTATCAACACTTGCTGCTTGTTAAAAAGTTATTAATTGTGAACAAACACACACTGCTATTATACCATAAAAGCAAGTAAGGTGCATTTAAGTCTTTACATTCAACTAATAAATTATAGACGTTAATTCATTTTTCATTTATACACATATATAATATGTGTAGTTATTTTAATAACTATAGAAATGTAATACAAACTGGATATGGAAAAATTTATATCGTGACCTTTGCAAACGTCGCGTTGCAAAACTCGCATTTTTCCAAAGAGTTTTCGCGCGCGAGTATTAATTCACTGGTTTACCAGGCATTATTACACGTGAAGGGGAATGATTTAGCAATGTTCTATCGTGCATAATTATTATGAGTTATAACCGTTGATATATGCGCCACCTCGAAATGTATATAAAAAACTGTATCGCACCATCATAAGAAAAAATCTTGACAAATTCATGTTGCAATTGTACGTGAAAAACTTTGCGGTGTTACACACGTAACGAGATTATATGCTACAATCAGATACAAAGATATACAAAGCAGATAATTTTGTAAAAAATTTCGAATTTAAATTTTATTGAAAAAAACTAGTTTCGATTTTGTAAAATATTAAAAATATATATTACAAATTTATCTTAGCAATTATTTTTGCACACAACTGTTCAGATTTAAATTGGTCTTTGTTACACTCGATTACAAAATTAGATATTGATTGCTTTTATATAATATTTCATAATTATTTTTTTATATATCAGGTTAATTGATTTTTACTTGACCCTCTACGCTCAAAATTATACCGCACCCATGTTGACTTTTTATAACAAATAATCGATCTATTGTCTTGCTGACAAAGATTAATTATTTATTTTGCAAGTTGCGAATGACTTGCAAGATACATAAATAGCAAAATTATAGCGATCTTTTTAATGTTAAAGCAAAATTGCCTTTAAGAACAAGTAAAGAAATCTGACAATTTTAATGCAGAAACTATATAAAATTGAATTGCGATAGAAAATTAGAAAAAAATATTTTATCCCGCGACCTACAATCACATCAATTTGCATGAACATGTGCGTTTAGCAAGAAGTGCAGTTGCGGCAATAAAATGTTTCGTTGCAACAGTGTATTTCAAAAAATATGTGCTGGCATACTTTTTGATTCCTGCATACTAATTTGGTAATAGAGTAAATGGCAAATGAATTAAAAAAAATCTGAGAGAGAGAGAGAGAAAGAAATAATATAAAATAGATATCCTAACAAAAAAATGTACGTATATACATCGAGATATAATAGAAATGGAGAATGATGCTATAATAATTATTAATGCGTTAGTATTTAATTGTACGACGATTATATCAATTGAGCGAAAAAAGTTGTGACATTTAATACATATTGTATATCTGTGTATAACAAAGATATTTAAAATCGTGCATCAAGACACCTTGGTTGATCAGGCTCTTCTTGCAATGTCATTTCGCTGACCAACTCCGAGTTGGATGGCACATCGCCGACTCGAGCCGTATGTGTTGTTAATCTGAACGTAAAATGATTTAACACATTGATACGTTTGTTAGAGAGATAAAAAGATACTATTATGTTATATTCACGATTAGTGATGGGTTAAATTTCTGAAATTTACATGATTAGAATCAAAATTCATATTCCGCGTTTACTTACTTTAATCTACAAATTTTTTATTGTTATCAAAGATATTTTTTTTATTTGTGTAACATTTGTCATTGTCAGAAATTTTAATTCTCATCAATGGAATAGTCATAAAATGAGTTACTTTATAATTAACACTAAAATACAAAGAAAAATAAAGTTCTCTTTATAAACAGTTGAAATAATTTTTAAATCTTTTGAATTTAACAAATAACTTGTAAATTGTGTCGTTAATTAAAACAAATTATGCAATACACACTTTCTAAGAATTAATATAAGTAAAAATACAATGCAGTTTGTCGTAATTCAATTTCCGAGATGATATCTAAGATGTCACGGTTTCTCTCAGGAGTGGTTGCGAATATTTTTCCGTAGATAGAAACGAATGAGAAAATTTTCACTTAAACCCATCGCTGTGAATCGTTCGAGAATCGTTCGAGAATTTTTACCGACTGGTTTTTACTCGCTGTGTAAGCTCGATGGCAGGCAACTTTAACGGTCTGGACAACCTGTCGCGCCGTTTGTGTAGCATGATCATCTCGTGTCTGTGGAAGAAAAGTATCTCACGCTGTTGCAAACATTCAATTCTCAATTTTATATACCTTCGTATTCTCTCAATTTTAATAGATCCGGAAACTGCTTCCTAGTTTTTGTTCATTTTTATTCAATTCAACGTTCTATTAAATTGTGTGGAAAATATAAAATTCACTAATATAAATAATTTCTAGTTATTTATATAACAATTTAATTTTCAATAAAATAATTTAATAATTATATAATACATTTCTATATTTACTGCGTGAATTTTTATATATTTTAAATAATTTTTGATAATTAATTGGTGAGAATAATTTAAATTTTGCACGAAATATGTCATCAAAACAAATAATTCTGACCGCGTATTATTATATTACATATATATAATGAACAAAGAAGACGAAGGTTAAAATATCGGCGAAGTCATCATTACCGATTATCATGTCGTATTACAAATTTAGATCTGGCTATGGTCGTAGGCGGGCACGATTTAACGTCCCGTTTGCGTCCCATGATTGTGTTTATCCTGTGAGAGAAAAAGCATATGATCTCTGTAGATACGAAAATAGTGATCACATCTTGAAGCAATCACGCGTTTAAATTAGCTTTATGATGCATATGTATACATCGACCTTTCTTTTAGCTTCACTTTGTACAAATATATATTCGCGGAATCGAAAATACTCCCCCAGTGATTTATTTATGCTTAGATAGTTTACTTTCGTTTATGAGAGATAAAGATACCTGTATATTTCTTTGTGATTAATATTACAAATTTTATTTGTAATTTATTAATTTTATTAGAGAAAGAGAGATTGAGTCATAAACGAGTATCGATATAATTGGTTCTGATTATTTGTAAAATATATTATTGTGTTTGGAAATAAATAAACCTCAATGGTAAATCGATTATACTCGATTCACCAAGGTTGCACGTATTTCTTCTTAGAATCAAATCTTCATCGATCCGCACATCGGTGTACTTGATGACGGTATTCATCATTCAGGTCAATTTAGCATATAAATTAATGCAATCAATGTAGAATGTGAAAAAGAATGCAGTGTAAAATTCATTTTTAAGCTTAATTCCATCAATTATCTAATTAGATTTCTTATAATTGAGTATAAAAAAATTGAGTGTTTATTGAGAGGCTACCATTGGATTTCGAGAAAAAAACCATCGATATTGCCACGTATCTCTTAATAATATACGCGTAAAAAAAGAAGAAAAAATCGATGTTCGCGTTGCCTTCGCTTTAATTATATATAAGTATCGAACTCTGTGCGATTCTTTGGCTAAACTCGACCCGTGCGAATTCGTCATGCCGATGTGACAGCGAAAGTTGTCACGGTATTGCGTATTCTTGGGTAGTTAGCGCTGTGTCGCACTGATGTCGGGGTTCACCGTCGCCTCCTGTGTCATTTTAATACTGCATGAGCCTAAGACGATGTGGTCACGGCGCGCGAAGACCACTTTGTACAGTCTATCGGCATATATATACGATTATAGTAAAAGACACCGTGATTTTTCTCGCAACGTGAAGTCTATTCGTCGTATTTTATTATAGTCATAAAAAATGTTAAGCAACATGATTTTAGAATCTTTTCTAGAATCACTCATATACTTCGAATCGATAATATATTTGCAAATTATAGCTCTGACGATCATTTATGTGAAACGTCTCGATTTATTCTAAAGGCTATTGTGCGTTTTAGTTGTAAGGCCGCAAGCAAATAAATAAAAAAAAATTAATCGATCTTGCAATCAAGATTTATGTACATACAATTTATATTTTTTAAATCTCGACATACGTATGCTATTGTACATATATCATTTCAATTAAAACACACTTAAATCAGTGATGCACTTCCGGCGTATCTCTCAAAACGCATAATTTTTTCAATAATTCTTGCACAGTTTGGTAATTATGATTTATCGCGATTTCATGATAATTAATAATCATAATAATAGTGGCACATGGCATATGACGGAATCGATCGCATTGCCCATGGAAGGAACAATACGGTTGATCTTGCGATTATTAAACAATTTGCAAGGAATTGCGATCGATTCGTTGTGCCATGGCCCACTATTATTATGATATTAATTATCATGAAATCGCGATAAATCGTAATTACCGATCGTTAGACTGACCGAACATGAGCGCGTTCGACAATAAACGGCGAGGTAGACAGGTGCGCGATTCGCCGTTTACAAAATGACACTGTGCGAATATCTCTGTCTATCATACATCCCACAATGCTTGGATATCGATTAGGCGATATTACGGACGTGAGCGTAATCCATTCATCAGGGTTATTACATCCCTTTAAAGGTCATGCCACTTGTCGTACATTATCTGGTATAATTTTTTTCAGCATTTTTGCTATAAATATGATCTCTATTTTCTTCATATACTATTTTATATATTACTTTACATACTTTATAAATAGAAAATAATAATATATATATAAGTTTTTAAATTAAATAATATATTAAAAGATACATTATAATATATTAAAGATACTTAACTGATCATAATAATAACGCAATGTGGTCAAGAGTTCATACAACACTAACTACTTCTCTAATTGGTTGAATCTGGAAAACATGCGTACGAATAATTATATATAGAGAGGTGATAATGATAAATGAAACGATTCTACCGATGATTTAAAAAAATATCTGTTGCATTATAAATTAAGCAATGCAGTATCACACTGCAATATCAACTACATTAAAAACACAACTAGTCGTGCGATTATGGCGTATTGTTGAGATGCTAACAGTAGTTTATCTGAAATGCTTACGTCATGAAGATGTACGTGACTACTTTTTGTTCTTTTAAACATAATTAAATGTTTAATGAATTAAATATATTTATAAAAACATGTATAAAAGACTATTTGAACTTTAACACTTGCCCAAGTGAGAAATGTTTATATGCATCAAGAATAGAGTATAGTATAATTAACTTTTAAATTATAAAAAATAAAATAATATTTTGCAAATTTTTTATCGAGGTAAAGAGAGATGCAATATATATTATATACATAGATAAATATCTCTCTAATTATAAAAAAAAATAAATTATGTACATTGTAAATTATAAAACCTTTCCATTGAGTATATCTTTATGTTGATGGGAAGGTTCAAACTCAGAAATATGTTCTGAAGGAAAAGTTTTCACATGGTTTTAGTTAGTAACAAATTTTAAGGCTTATAAGGTGACTGTTAAATTTTAAGCGAATATCAAATTTATAGTTAAAACATGTCAAGTACATATGTGTCTCAATTTTTTCGTTGTTTTTTATTTTTATTTATTGCATACAAGTTTGATTATTTTTGTGCACTTGTTTCGTTTTACGTTTTTTTTTAAATTCTCTCAAGTAATTAAAGTCAATTTGCCATAAAATTCGCGCATCTATCAATCGACTAAACGTTTGCTAAATAAATGTCCGATTTATAATGTCAATGAAATCACTGTCTCCACGATGTTAGTATTCGAAAATCGAAGTGCAGAATTGTTTCACAATACGACATTCCGATTGAAAACGTGGAGCGAGGACACGTGTGGAAAGATTCTTTATTTTCTGGGCCATGGTCGAAATGCGAATTTAACGTCAAAAATTGATGCAAAAATAATCCCCACAATATAATTTTCATTTTATTTCTCTCAAGATATTTTATTGTCACATTTTTTCTTTGTGCTTTTTACACATATCTTGAAGCTCTTTGTTTTTAATATTTAATATTTTTTTTATTATTTTTGATTATTGTTCATATGCATCTAAAAATGTAGACTCAAGCATTAAAAGTCTTTTTTTTTATAGAAAGTGTGCCGATTTTCTCTATAGATAATATAGAATATCTCTATATATAACAGAGAGAATCATAATGTGCTCAATTGAACGATTGATCCAACGAGTGATTTAATTCTTGGAATGTTATTTTGCGAAAATAAACAAGATTAAAGTATGATGATACTTTCAATTTTTAAAGCGAGAGTGCATGGAACGTGCATGTGATTCAAGATCTTCTTTATCAGACGCTCCATTTGCCATGTGTTCAAACTTGCTATTTTTAAACTCAATGTGCATTATGTAGATGAATGAAAAGTGTTAATTTAATTAAATTTTACTCGAATTAGACCTATGCAGAGTTTTTTCTTTTTTTCTATCTCTTATTCGACACGCATTTAATTGTGATAGAAACTTTCTTGTTTAAGTCCAAAATAATCATGTTTATATATTAGCCACTTTTAAAAATATTTCCTTAGATTTTATACAGCTTTTAAAAATGAAAAAAATGCGAAATTATTCCGTTTATTTTTACTATTCTAATTATCCTGTTTATTATTATGTGCATAATTATCTCGTATATTTATTTAAATTTATTAATATTAGTTATATAATAAAAAACCACTCCTCAGTTGTTAAAGTCGACCAGACTGGCAATAATTATTATAAATAATTATTTGAAATACACAAACGTTTCGGCTGTCATTGCAGCCCTTTTCAAGTACATCTATAAAAGTTCAATCAAAATAATTATAATTTAATACACTTATTCGCAACAATTAATTATACATTTAAAAAAACAAAATGTGTTACATACCAAATTTAAAACAGTAAATCAACTTCTATGCAAACTACCGACAATGTTAACGCTTGTTTTGATGAACAATGCAAGACTGACAGAAGTAAGACATATTAAATAGATGTTAACTGTTCACAAGAATCTTAGTCACTAAGCGTTAAGAAGATAGAGACGAAACTAAATGTGTCTTTCGTAATTTAAATCGTCATAATAAAGTCAAATAAATAAAAATAAATAAATAGGTGGATATAAAAATAAAAATAAAATTAAAAGTAAAAATAATATAAAACGACTTTAAATAACGTCAAGAACACGATCATAAATCCCACTGAAATTCTCCGTATCTTCTGTAAATTAATACTTTTTC